TGTTCCTGCCTCTGGCGGCTTTCCTATCCATCGTCTATTAATGCCTGCCTCGTCTATAGCTCCAGCGCTCGGCTTAGACAAGCCTCTCCAACATGAAGGTCAGTAGTCCTAGCTACCTTTAATTTCCTCCTCAGTCCTGATGCTCAATTCTCAACTTTCCTTAATTTACCACCCTGCGTAGCTTGCTAGTATTTCAGGCGAATGGTCTCCTCTTGATAATTTGGAAAAGAAAATGATTTTCCCTTTTCAGGTTCTTGAATCATTTCTCTTTTCTGTAAATCTCTCTACTTTGTACTTCTTCAGCGATGATCGTTTATGAATAATATAGGACCAATGCAGCTGTAATCACTCTCTAAGCCTCCCTTCCTCTGAATTCTTTGTTCTGCGGTTCAATTAGTTGATTGTTAGGCAACAAAACTCTGTTTCTGAATTATGATCTTTTTTTTATGCATGAATGTATGTATGATCAGCTCCTCGGTTGGATGCACCGAAAGTTACGACAGAATAGTAATGATGTGTTCAAAGAGTTCAACAACGGTGGAGGTACATTCATCTGATCTGCCTTCTCTCTCTCTCTCTCTCTGCCCTCTTCCTTGCATCTTATTGTTTAATCTGTTCATCAAACATTTTCTCTTATTCCATTGGCAAATGGGCTTTTCTAATCAAGAAGAGAAATGAAAACAGCCTTTTCATGCTCATCGTCTTTCAGATATTATGATTGATTGATCATACAACACATAGGAGGACTATAGGAGCCAAGCTAGCTAGGACTAGTTTTACCATATTGCTTTGAACAAGCATAACTGACAAGCAGGCACATGTGGAAGCTTAACACATTCCTTCTGGGGTCCACATGTCAGCTACAATTCGTACATAGTAACTTCACAACGCTAGGTTTAAACAGTATGGATCCCTGAATGCTTGCACACTGTGGCGGATCTGCCACCGTGGCTGGGAGGCTCAAGCCCCCCCCCTACCGCGGGCGCGTGCTGTGGAGCCCCTAAGAATTTTTGGACAGTGGACTGGCATTGGAGGAAGGAAAGGAAGGGCTGGAGACCTGAAACACCCGAGAGGTCGACGTAGGTTGAAGACGACGCATCGGCTATTTCTCCATCTCTTTGTTTCCCCCCACCCAAATAGGCCCAGTAAGGCAGTAACATCAATAGGCCAAGTGGGCCGTGGGCCTTTCTCCTTTCCCCGTTTGCCGTTTTCAATTGTATTTTTTTACTTCTTGTGAAATATGATGCACTTTCAATTGTTTATCAAAGTTATAATGTTATAAAATGCTTAAAACTGTTATATGTTAGTTATGTATGGGACATAATTGAGTTATAAGTTGGTCTTGCTCTCTTCAGTCCATCCCCCTATATATTTTTTCTGGATCCGCCACTGCTTGCACTTTTGCTGTTTGTCACATTGGACTGGACATGGTACATGCCATTCCTTTCCAGCTTAGTCTAGCTCAACAGTTTCACTGCAAGCACCCCCATATATCATCATATTTCTAGATAATATTTCTTTATAGCAACATTGTCCTATATGAAGGCATCCTCTTTTTTTTGCAAGGAATATATTGCAATATTTTTCACGTTTTTTAGACAGACATCACATGTTGATATTTTTGTAGTTTTGGTGTGAGCTGGAAAACAAATGTTAGGATATCCAGTTTGAATTTACATATTTATTAATTTAACAGAAGCTGTTCATATGTAAATTTGACACTGATTACCTTAGCTGATATCATACATATTCAATAAGAAATCAAAATCCAAATTTTGGTTATAATTTTTTTGTGAAGAAGTTAATTTCAGTTTTTATCTTACACTGTTCACAACAAGTTTTTTTCCCATTGCTTTTGTTTTTAGAATGTAGAACAAAGTGGTATTCCTTTTTGTGTGAAATTGTATAGGAATATTGTATAATACTGTATCTTCATAAGTTACCATTTTATAGATACTTGTTACTGCTTATTCATAATTTGCTTGAGAGAATATTATGTAGCATAGAAGCCTCACTATCGCGGATGCCTACCACTAGGTGAATAGCATCATTCCTTATTAGAAATAATCAAGGAAAACACGATCACTTATACCACGTCTAGGTCTCAGACTCTCGAACCTAGGTGCGCATGTTTCATCTATTCTACTCCTTCACAATAACAAAAATAAAGTTTTCAGTTGTCTGAAGTGAACAATATTAAACTTCAATAACTACTTCTAAAAAATGACTAATTTTCAAAAGGAAACAAATTTGTAACATAGGAAAGTTCAAGGTAAATCTTTTTTTATTTCTCTTAGAAGAAAAAAAAAGACAAATCTACTTTGTATGTTGTATCCCTACTACAAAGTTTTAAAGTAAACACGAAAATTAGAGTACTATTTTTTTTGTCGAAGTTTGAAATAGTTGACTTTACAAAGGGGGTCATCGCCAAGTCGAAAGTACCAAAAAATCACCATAAATCATTTCACAAAAACTCAACAAGTTAAACACAAACCTTACTAACAAGTATTTCACTGCAGGTGCGACCTGCAACTGCATCACCGGGCTGGCCTCACCAGACCCGGCCACCTTCCTCGCCTCTGCCAACGAATACTTCGGCGGCGACCACGACTTCACCAACAATCACTCATCGCCGCCGGACGCCGACCTCTTCACCTTTGGCGGCAGCGGGCTCCTCACCATTGGCACTCTAGGCATCGCCGCTATCGCGGTCCCAACAAACGCCGACGACGATGATTACGATGTCGACGTCGATGCAGGCTCCGACTCTGACGACAACGACGACACCGCGGATGAGGGAGACAAGGTCGACAGCGCCGTGACGCCCACATACACAGCCACAGCCACAGCGCCGCCTCCGCCAGAGTCCGCGGCGGTCGTCGAGAAGGCTGCAGTCGCCGTGGTCGAGGCCATTGCCGAGAAGGACGACGACACCACCACGGAGGACGACCTGATGGTAGTGAGTGCGGAGCTGGAGAAGGTCCTCGGTGGCCGCAACAGCGGCGCCGCCAGCGACCTGGTGGCGTCGGCGCGGGTGAGCTTTGCCATGGGCGGCGTGGACTGCCCGCTGCAGGGCTTCCTGTTCGGCTCCCCCGTGAGCGACGCCGAGTCGCGCCTGGAGCAGCCGCGGGATAGCAATGGCGGCCTGCGCACCTCGCTCGGCGAGCTGTTCATGCGCACGCGCTTCGCCGACGAGAAGGTGGCGCTCGTCGCCGTCGAGGAGGGCGAGGACGGCGGCGGGGATGGAGCTGCCGGTGGAGAAAAGGACGACGGGAAACCAGGGAAAGGCGGCTGCTTCCACAAGACAATGAAGAAGAGGAGGGTGAAGGATGAGAAAGTCCCCGGCGGTGATGGAGCGCCGGCGAGTGCAGCGGTGACCAAGAGTAAGTTTCAGAAGGTACGACCATCGATTTATCTCTCAAGTTCTGTGTTTTAGACCTTTTTTAAGGGAAATACAATTCTCTACTATATATGTACAAATTCTTGATCTTGAATCATCCTTTTTAATTTGGTTGATTTGATTCAAAATGTTGATAAACATTGGGTCTATTTGGGTTGAAACAAAAATTTGCAGTTTTTATCAAGTATAAGTACAATGCTGGGAAGAAAACACAACTGAAGCCAATCAATTGCACGTGAATTGTATAAGTACCTGCTCCATTCTCCTTCACGCACCGTTCCGTTCATACGAAACCTTGTCCAACCGTTCCTAACAGGAATGCTAGTCTAATTTATATAATCTTTCATAGGCTGGGACTATTCATGGGCAGAAATCATCTAACCGAACGAGCCCTTAGGCTTCGTCCGGTTTCATAGGAACCATTCCCTGTAAGGGCTCGTTCGTTTCGGTTGAAACCCGGGCAGGAACGATTCCGGTTGCCTAAAGCTTATTCAAATTAGGTAACCAATCCGGCCTGGAATATTTCCTAGGATCCGTTCCCCTTCAAACGAACGTGGCCTAAAGATTTCCAGCAAAAATGATTAACTAACTTATATATGCTTCATCAAGCGGGAATGGTTCCTAAGACTCATTCTAGGCTAACCAAACAAGCCCTTAAGTGTCTCATACACAAAGCTGGCAATAATTGTAATCTTCATATCTTGATTGCTAATTTGTAGAAAAGTTTTACATATCTCACATAAATGATAGTAATTTTGCTATATTTTGATAATCTTATTAATTGCAGTCGCATGACCCAACTAGTTTTTTTTTTTTTTTGTTCTCACAATGGAAATAATTAGCTAGTTGCTCCAAGCCAATATATATGGTTTCTTTGTACCACTCTCTGTCTCAAATTGTAGGTCGTTTTAGATTTTGTAGGTACATAGAGATACACGAAATATCTAGATACGTACCAAAAGTTATATATTTAGAAAAGCCAAAACGATCTATAAATTAAAATAGAGGGAGTACTATTTTCAAGCAAGAGTATATCGAAACCACAAGAATGTCCAAAACAGGAAGGGGGAAAGATTTTTCTAGAGCTTAAGCAACCATGCATATCAGACAATCTTTTTGATGAAACGTCCACTTATGTTATAGATCTGGCACACCAACTAGGACTAGAAGTGTTGTTAAAAGTGGGGGTAGCGAGTTGACACACCCTTTTGTTTGCAATCTCCTATCAAGTGTTACCTTTATGGCTCATTGCATTTGTCATGTTCTATAGCCTCCAAACAATTGGACTTGATCTGACAGGACTTTTTTTTATCATTGAACCTCCCTCTATCTCTTTCTTCTCTCTTACTATTATATATATATAACGATTCTGTGCATGTATGTATTACGCAAGTCCCTATAATAAGATAATCTCCGGAGAAATCTTTTTTTTTTGTTTAGTAATCATTTGAAGAACCTTCTACTCTTTTCAAAATTCCATATAATTGGTGCCATTATATTCTTGAATTTACAAATTGATTAGATGGTGGTTTTTTTTTTCCATTTTGAAAATGATGAGCCAGTTCTGAAACAGAGAGGCATTAATTTTGCTCATTTGCAGATCCTCCAAATCTTCCACAGGAAAGTGTACCCTGAGAGCGCGGCCCTGGTCCGGAACCTGACCAAGAAGAGCCGCAGACGCGGCAGCGGCGCCGACGAGCCCGCCGAGCCGGCGTCGTCCAAGCTCCGGTGCCGCAAGGAGCAGCGCACGCCGGGGTTCGGCTGCTGCGCCAACCGCGCCTCCTTCGGTGGCGCCGCTTCTCCCATCCACGACGACGACGAGGAGCTCAACAGCAGCAAGAGCGGCCACTGGATCAAGACCGACGCTGAATGTGAGCGCATATTCATTTCATTTCACAGCACAGCACATACGTACATATTGCAATCACAGCACAGCACATATCTATCTCATCCTAATCCACCAATAATTAATCTGCAGTCGCAAAAAGCAGTCTTGACAGAGAGACTTTCCATACTGTTATCGGCAAAGAATAGAATCTTCAGGAGCTATCAATTCAGTTTGACTGCGCCATGGTGATGCATGTAGCCTGCCTTATACTGTTTACTGACTGAACATCTCTTTTTCTATGACTGGATGCAGACTTGGTGCTGGAGTTATAGAAAGAGAAACAACAAGAGAAAGTCATAATCTGTTGGCTGGTCAATATCAAGCATATATAGTGAGTATATTGAGCATGTTGATTACTTATGTTTGTGTGCTTGCTTGCTCTTCAAAAAAAAAAAAAACTTTATATATATTTGTTCATGTCACTACGTACCTGATGGATGAGTTGTATGTGTCCGTCTATCTATAAAGGGAAAAAGGACTGTGTGTGAATGTATGAACTTAATGTATGGTTTGCATCAAGATGTGATTGCTGCCTCCTGCCTCATGGATACTCCTATAGCTGATGATAGCCTTCTGTGGGTGCATGTGGGGGCTTAGGCACTTCCACACACCCCCTGCCCCCCCCCCCTAATCATGCTGCTTCTTGAACTCTTGTTGGTGGCCTGATTGCAGAGGAATATCCGGTGACAGGGATGGGCCCCTAACAACAATTGGCATTTCCCGCAATAGGCTAGCTTTGATATGCATCATTATTCGTATGGCACATTTAATTCAGATTAGGTGCTTTCATATATTCACCATTTCAAAGACATTTGCTTGTGTGCATGATGAATTTGGCCAGGCAGAGGCAGGGGTACATTAGATTACAATCCATTGTTCACTGACATGTTTGTGCAAGAGTCTAAATGGCATATGGTTTTTGACACAGTGCGTGATATATGACTAAATCACTGGAGTTACCTAGTGGTTTGGTTGGGTTGCATGCATGATTCCTGTGCAGAAACTATTCTCAGGTAAACATGATCAGCAAAAACCTTGTGTATGATGACAACTTGCTTGTGGGCCGGCTTGAAACTGTATGAACAGATAGCAGGTAGGCTTCTAGCAAGATCCTAATAAACTTCGAATCAAAACCTTGTGTGGTTTTTCACCATGGAACTGTTGTAACGGTAGGTTAGGTAACCATATTATTAAACATTTTTTATTGAGATTTGTTACTGCAATTTTTTTTGGAGCACCAGAAAATTTCTCAGTATAATAACATGTACAGCTTCAAAGTTCAAACAAAATACGCTATCAAGAAGTATTGCAAAGAGAATCGAATGAAACTAGTTTGATACTGTAGCCATTGATGAATTTTTGTATAAGCTTGGTTGAAGTCGATTGTAATTTGGGATAGAGGGGCTAAAATGAAAAAAGTAGTTCATTATGTGCTCGTTATGCAAACAAATAATTGTATTAATGAATAGACTCCGAGGTCATATACCAGATTCTGCATATCGTCTATTGTGGGACTTGTTTTTTTCCCGAAACAACTATTGTGGAGCTTTATCTTTTATAATAACAGCAGAATAATGTCCACTGGAAGGGAAGAATATCTGACAACTGAAACATTTTCTTTATGTAATTATGCATGATTGGCTCACTGGTTCACTTACCCATAGTGTCAACTAGAACAATTGTATATTTTAATATTTGCACTAATATTGCTTTGAAAATATACCAAAAGGGAATAAACAAAATATAAGAGAAAATATAGACTCCACTGAGCATAGTAAAACTATTTCTGGAAAAATTATTTCAGGCGTGACCATATGTGCATATGCATCCATCCACGTCTTGAACTCTGAGACCATAAACTTTGCATTCACAGCACAGCAAGTTATAATCCATCAGCAATTTTGCAATCACATGCATGTTACAAAATAAAATCTTGACAGTGAGATGCTTAGTGGTTGGGTGGTAGTTTCGATCTTCACAGTAATTGACTCCCTTCAATGATCGATTCCTTCTCCATGAAAGCGCAGCGATGTTTGAAAGATAATCATTTTGCCTGAAAACTAGCAAAATACAATATCATAAAGAGTGCAAGTGTGCAACGAACAAACCAGATAATAGATAGAGATTTAGCAATTTCTTACTTGTAGGGAGTTTTTTTACCAACTTATTATTAGAGGGCTATTTTTATGATTTTTGCAAAAAATCGGTTTAGAGAGTACAACCTCTTCTTGGAGTTAGTAATGTAAAAAATCAATGATAAATTTAGGATCATAACTAATGAAAATTGGATAAATACTATATATTACACTAGGTTAATTTTATGCTAGATATAGGTAATTTAATACATATATGAGGGTCACTTAAGTTACTTTTATGATGGCAGAGGTGGGCAATAATTATTATCAATGATGTTGGAGTTTATTGAATTGATGACTTGATGTTTTTGCTTTTGCAATAATTATATATAACAACATGTGACACAAAAAGGTAAATTTGAGCGCTATCTCCTACTCCATATGAATTTGCTCGGCGCTTTGTATACTCAAAAGTCCCGGACTGCTGGTACATAGCGACTCCCTCTGTTCCTAAATAATTGTTGATTTTAGTTTCCATGCCGTTAGTTTAACTGAATTTGTAGAAAATACGTGCAATATTAGTATCTCCAAATTAATTTATTATGAAAATAGATTCAACGATCTATCTAATAATATTAATTTTGTACCATAAAAATTAATATTTTTTATATACATTTAGTTAAAGTTGTTTCTCGAAAAGCGAAAATGATAGTTATTTACGGACGGAGGGAGTATATATATATATGCAACACCGCTTGCAATGAGATCGGAGATAAGCGTTGTTCTGTTCAGTGAACAGTGTTTACGACTGATATGCATCATGGTGATGGTAACATGAGAAGAAATCATCAATAGAATCCTGCCCAGTGCTTAAATACACAGCCGATGATAGCCTTCTGTGGGTGCATGTAGGGGCTTAGGCACTTGGCTGGGCTGCGCCCCCAAATCATGCTGCTTCTTGAACTCTTGTTGGTGGCCTGATTGCAGAGGAATATCCGGTGACAGGGATGGGCCTAACAACAAGGGAGATTTCCATGTGTGCTATTAAAAAGGATCGCAATGCCCTGTGTGTTTCTAAAAAAAGTTTAGTGATCTTTTTGTGCCATGGCTCAACGCTTTTTGTGCCTTCATCATCATCCACATTTGCCGTTAGTTTGGACTCTAGCAGAAATCAAAGCTGCATGTGTGAAAAGTCAAAAATACCATTTAAGTCTAAATAAGTCATTAATTTTTCTAAGATATTAGCGACTTCATATGAAAAATCTCAAAACTAGGAATTAAATGAAGATAATTTTTATATAAAAATTATAGATCTCATTTAGATCTACAATTTTTTCTAGTTTTGAGTTTTTTTCATTTGAAGTCATATAAGATGCTCAAAAAATTTAATGACATATTTAGACTTAAGGGTATTTTCGATTTCATCATAACTGCAGCTTGATTTGGCAAGTTAGAGCCCAATGATTCGATGGCAAAGTGGCATGGAGGGCACAAAAAGTTGGAGGCGTATATCAAGACCGCTGAACTTTTCCAGGGACACACATGGCATTGCGATCTTTTTTAATGGCACACAAGGAATCCCCCCTAACAACAATTGCCATTTCCCGCAATAGGCTGGATGCTGCTTTGATATGCATCATTATTCGTATGGCCCATTTAATTCAGATTAGGAGCTTTCATATATTCACCATTTCAAAGACATTTGCTTGTGTGCATGATGAATTTGGCCAGGCAGAGGCAGGGGTACATTAGATTACAATCCATTGTTCACTGACATGTTTGTGCAAGAGTCTAAATGGCATATGGTTTTTGACACAGTGCGTGATATATGACTAAATCACTGGAGTTACCTAGTGGTTTGGTTGGGTTGCATGCATGATTCCTGTGCAGAAACTATTCTCAGGTAAACATGATCAGCAAAAACCTTGTGTATGATGACAACTTGCTTGTGGGCCGGCTTGAAACTGTATGAACAGATAGCAGGTAGGCTTCTAGCAAGATCCTAATAAACTTCGAATCAAAACCTTGTGTGGTTTTTCACCATGGAACTGTTGTAACGGTAGGTTAGGTAACCATATTATTAAACATTTTTTATTGAGATTTGTTACTGCAATTTTTTTTGGAGCACCAGAAAATTTCTCAGTATAATAACATGTACAGCTTCAAAGTTCAAACAAAATACGCTATCAAGAAGTATTGCAAAGAGAATCGAATGAAACTAGTTTGATACTGTAGCCATTGATGAATTTTTGTATAAGCTTGGTTGAAGTCGATTGTAATTTGGGATAGAGGGCTAAAATGAAAAAAGTAGTTCATTATGTGCTCGTTATGCAAACAAATAATTGTATTAATGAATAGACTCCGAGGTCATATACCAGATTCTGCATATCGTCTATTGTGGGACTTGTTTTTTTCCCGAAACAACTATTGTGGAGTTTTAACTTTTATAATAACAGCAGAATAATGTCCACTGGAAGGGAAGAATATCTGACAACTGAAACATTTTCTTTATGTAATTATGCATGATTGGCTCACTGGTTCACTTACCCATAGTGTCAACTAGAACAATTGTATATTTTAATATTTGCACTAATATTGCTGTGAAAATATACCAAAAGGGAATAAACAAAATATAAGAGAAAATATAGACTCCACTGAGCATAGTAAAACTATTTCTGGAAAAATTATTTCAGGCGTGACCATATGTGCATATGCATCCATCCACGTCTTGAACTCTGAGACCATAAACTTTGCATTCACAGCACAGGAAGTTATAATCCAGCAGCAATTTTGCAATCACATGCATGTTACAAAATAAAATCTTGACAGTGAGATGCTTACTGGTTGGGTGGTAATTTCGATCTTCACAGTATTTGACTCCCTTCAATGATCGATTCCTTCTCCATGAAAGCGCAGCGATGTTTTAAAGATAATCATTTTGCCTATAAACTAGCAAAATACAATATCATAAAGAGTGCAAGTGTGCAACGAACAAACCAGATAATAGATAGAGATTTAGCAATTTCTTACTTGTCGGGAGTTTTTTTACCAACTTATTATTAGAGGGCTAT